AATTAATTGGTATTAATTTGGTGACTTAAAGAGATTAATTAAATAAGAGGGTATAAACTGTCAATTGTTTGATAGTTAGACTTTAGACTGTAAATCCATTAGGATATACCTTGGACGGATTCTAAGAGCTTTAAGATAGCTCAAATCGTCCATAGGGTTATCTATGGAATGGATTTGGATAGCCTTAAGAGAAGATTATCCAATTAGGGTTTAGGATGAAACCCTTAAGGAGTCTACAAGTATAAATAGACCCTATGGGTGAGGGAATTCGACACACAACCTTAAGCAAGGAACCTCTAGCCGAATTCCTCCCCTCTCCTCTCTCCTAAATCATCTTGCTTGCTATTGGTGTTTGTAAGCCATTAGAGGAGTGACAATTGTGACTCTAGAAGCTCCAAGACAAACAAGATCAACAAGGAATTCAAAGGTATGATTCTAGATCTGTTTCAATATTGTTGTTTAACCTAATTAGCCATTAGAAGTCTTAGATTCAAAAGCATGTTTATTAGAAAGCCTAGATCCAAGCATTAGGGTTTTGCATGCGCACATAGGAAAGTTCTTATGGCTAAAACCCATCAGAGGTACCTAAAAACAAAACTAAAAACTGTAAGCACGAAGCTTAGTGAGTTCCCCCATCATACCACATACCATACATAATGTCACACCCCCGAACCAGACGACGGAAACGTCCGAGGGCTCACGTAACTCAAATTGAATATCATCACAATGAATATACATGAAACATAACATAAACTTCACCATGCATCAATACATTACAACTGATATTGTTCACATCAAGTACATTGTTTAAACATTACATATCCATAACATAAATTATTTGATAGTTTTCAAAAGCATAACACCCTATCATACTTGGTATTACTCATTAGTTTACCTGTTACCAGAGCATACAAGTTATTTAAAAAAAACGTCAACATATAGAATGTTGGTGAGTTCATAAGCATGGTTGTTATGAAAATGTTCTGTGTAGTTTATAAATAAAAAACCAGAAAATCCGATGATTTCCTAAAAAAGACAACTGTTTATACCAAAGTGTGAAGATCCATAGGTTTATGCATGAATGATTTCAAAGCGTGTATAAATGAGAAGTTTTGCATTATATTTATTGAAAAGTACAAGTAAATGGTGTTGATTTCCTCGAAAAAACCTGATGTTTTCCGATAACATAATATTATGTAATTGTTTCGAATTGTTATACCGTCATAACGAATAATTATGATTTTTCCTTGATTACTCGGATAGTATTGTATTTATTTATGTGAGTCGTTATAACTATGCATGATAATGACTAGTTCGTCTGTCTTGGCATTCTAACGAACGCTGGAATTGATCTTATGATTTTGTCACCCTAGACTGACCGAGTCTAACTGTAGCAAACAATTGAGGCGTGGGGGAGTCACCCCCGTATAGATCTATACACAAACTCTCGTTCTCCCTCAAAGAGACTTTGATTATAACTACAGACTACAAACGACCCATAGAGGTGCCGCCCGTTATTACTCACTGAATCCAACATGAATTTGATTACCATTGATTAACGACCTGTATATGTTTACTGAATTGAAGGTAAGCCTAATAAACGAGGAGAAGAGGATTACAAGGTCATGCTAATCTCACGTATTATTTATGGCTATTGGGAATACGAAGGATACGTTGGTCCATTTCGCATTTAATTTATTTGGACCTTACTAGCAATGCTAATGGGCCACTGATGCCCAAAAGCACTTGAAAGCCATTGAGGGTCCCTTAAGCATGAAATTGGGTCACATGAGGCCCAATAAACATTTATTATTATCGTTGGGCCCTAAAGTCATGTTAATGGGTCACGAAGGCCCAATAAGCATGATTAGGAACTTTCAAGCCCAAAGATTTGAATATTTACTTGTTTTAGATATTGTAAAATTGTCGGAAAGATTGATTTAATGATTGTTAGATTTGTAACGGCACGAGGTCGGTCGGTTGTTTATAAAGATATTTTGAATTATATGCATATTCATCTTTCTATTTTCGTAAGTTGTAATTTGGTGTTTTTGACCCAATATCTTAATAATAAAATAATTGACTCAAAAATATTGGTTTGACCCCTTCCAACCCTTTTTTAATAAAAATGATAGTTTTAGTCCTTTATTTAAAAAAGACATTTTAGGCCCATAGACTTGTTTAAGTGATGTTTTTAGCTCAAAATTTACTCTTTGGCAGTTTCAGTCCCTCCACTAAAGAGTTTTTCAGTTAAAGTCCAAACTTCTCGCAACTTTTACACTTTTGGCCCAAAATCCAAAAACTATAATTTTTCCTTAATTACTCGGATAGTATTGTATTTATTTATGTGAGTCGTTATAACCATGCATGATAATAACTAGTTCGTCTGTCTTGGCATTCTAACGAACGCTGGAATTGATCTTAAGATTTTGTCACCCTAGACTGGCCAAGTCTAACTGTAGCGAACAGCTAAGGCATGGGGGAGTAACCGTCATATAGATCTATACACAAACTCTCGCTCTCCTTCCGGGAGACTTTGATTATAACTACAGACTACAAACGACCCATAGAGGTACCGCCCGTTATTACTCACTTAATCCAACATGAATTTGATTACCATTGATTAACGACCTGTATATGTTTACTGAATTGAAGGTAAGCCTAATAAACGAGTAGAAGAGGATTACAAGGTCCTCCTAATCCCACATATTATTTATGGCTATTGGGTATACGAAGGACACGTTGGTCCATTTCGCATTTAATTTATTTGGACCTTAAGCACTTGAAAGCCATTGAGGGTCCAATGCTAATGGGCCACTGATGCCCAAAAGCACTTGAAAGCCATTGAGGGTTTCTTAAGCATGAAATTGGGTCATAGCAGGCCCAATAAACATTTATTATTATCGTTGGGCCCTAAAGTCATGTTAATGGGTCACGAAGACCCAATAAGCATGATTAGGAACTTTCAAGCCGAAAGATTTGAATATTTACTTATTTTAGATATTGTAAAATTGTCGGAAAGATTGATTTAATGATTGTTAGATTTGTAACGGCACGAGGTCGGTCGGTTGTTTATAAGGATATTTGGAATTATATGAATATTCATCTTTCTATTTTCGTATGTTGTAATTTGGTGTTTTTGACCCAATATCTTAATAATAAAATAATCGACTCAAAAATATTGGTTTGACCCCTTCCAGCCCTTTTTAATAAAAATGACAGTTTTAGTCCTTTATTTAAAAAAAGACATTTTAGGCCCATAAACTTGTTTAAGTGATGTTTTTAGCTTAAAATTTACTCTTTAGCAGTTTCAGTCCGTCCAGTAAAGAGTTTTTCAGTTAAAGTCCAAACTTCTCGCAACTTTTACACTTTTGGCCCAAAATCCAAAAACTGTACATTTTTTATCCTTGTTTGGAGAAAAAATCATTTTTACCCTTAAATTAGTTTTGTTTACCCTTTTACCCCCTGTTTTGAGAAATTTACCATTTTAATTTTGACAAGCCATGTTGAGGCTTCCAACACGCCGTGTCTCAAAGAAAATATAAGCAATTGGAAAAATAAATTCGTATCGGAACCAAACGATACACATAAGTTCGTACTTATCACACCATGGTTTATGTTGCTAGAATATTGGGTCGTTATCAATCAAATCCTTGTCTAGATCACTAAAAAGCAGCCAAGAAAGTTTTGTGATATTTACAATGGACTAATAACTAAAAACTTGTTTAAAATAGTCACAACTTTTAGGCGATATGATTTTTGACTATGACTTTGCAAAATCTAAAGATCACAAGTCATTATTGGAATATGTCTTTATGTTATCAGTCAACCAATATCATTGAAAATTCATAAGTAAAAGATGACAACTAGTTGATGGTAAAGTATGTTATCAAATATAATGCAACTTATCATTGAATGTTGTTGAGAAATTTAATCACAAGATTAATGATAGTAAATCACATTTCAATGTGCTAAAAGAAAATTTGTTGTTATAACTTTGCATTTATAAGCTTTTCCACTAGCAATACTAGAGTATGACTTTACATTAGTACAAAAAAATACTTATTTGCATGATTGAGATTGAAGGACAATGATAATTGTATTAAGCACATCATCACTAATAATATGCTAGTGTATTCGATGACGAAAGAAATAATAACCAAAATATTTTAACATGTTTTCAATATGAAGAAATAACATCCAAAATATTTTAACATGTTTTTAATATAAACATGAGTTTAAGAATAGACATATTATGAATACAACTTAACTTGAATGTTGATGATTCAACGATAAGAAGTTTTTTTTTTTTTTTTTTTTTTTTTTTCAAAAGTTCTATTTTCTTCTTCTTTTACAACGTTTTGCTATAACAGATTAACAATTTGCCATAATCTATGTATTTTTATTTCCTTATTAAATTAATAATAACACATAAATTTTCAACTAGAAAAAATTGAACATAACCACATGTAACCTAAAATTCACATTAAGAACAACATTCACCAAATTTGCAGTCTAGTCATGACTAATCTTGTTAAGATCGGTCTTTGACAAAGTTCTAAATGGATCGAGCCGTAACGTTGCGACAATGTTAAACTTCAAACTTTACGAGCAATAACGAGTCATTACGTTTTCCAAAACGCGACGAGACTAAAAAAGAACCGACGATATAATATGCATTGCCATGCTTTAACTCGTCTTGATATGCCACACCTAACACGCTAACATTGCCACCACGAAAGATTTTAAAACGGTATAGCCACACCATGCCTTGACACATGTCATGCTGTGCTTTTGAAAGCCCATGGTCTTTGGGTCAAGTCCTTTGAGACTCGCCGAATTTCGCTTCCAAATTCCGAAGTAGGAATGGTGATCCATCTGAGCATAAAGTATCCAGGGGCTGCATAGTTAAATACTACAAGTTTCAGGGACTTACTACAAAATTTCAACAAAACTTTAACTTCCTGGCAAAAACCAAAACACATAAATACGTCCCCAATGAATCTATTCGACCCCCCTTGAAAAACCAAAAAAGTAGGAAGAGATAAGTACTATATGTGGAGATCATTCGGGCAGGGAGCTGGCGGACCAATGGGCGGAGGTGGCGGCGGCGGAGGGATAATGAAGACGTTTCACAAAGCCGTTTCGGCCGGCACCGGTGGCTGTGGCTCATCCCAAGAATCCTTTTCTCGCTGCGCCACCACACACTATAGCAGCAACACCACCACCTCTCCCACATCAAGACCCAGTTATAAACCTTCCTCATCTGATTATAATTCCAATACCTATTCTTCCTCCTCCGCGAACCAGCTTAACAGGAACAGGGCCAACTCAATATCTCCGACGACCGGTGAGGAATATGATGGTGTAAATGGATTTTATGATGATTATGTTTTTTGTACTGTTCCATCCATGGATGAAGTTCATGATGCGGTCTCTTCTCTTCAACAGTAAGTATTTGATTTATACATATCAAATTATAAATCATCTCTATATAATCAGTGTGAATTTAATTGGCTTGTAATTTGTGAACCTTATTAGGGTTATCGATCCTCCGGAGTTGGAATGGATTGAGCCCTCAAGAAGTATGATGCTACAGTCTCCTGGTTATGAAAGTGTTTATGATGCTTTTCATTTACTACAAACTGAGCCTTCTGTTAAGGTACTTACTTGGATTTAAGATTGATTTCCAATAATATTCTAACTTTATGTTATAAAATTATATTTTACTTATCGTTTAGAGAATGGTGATTTCGTTGGCATCTGATAATTCCGTTTGGGACGCTGTTATGAACAATGAGGTGGTTCGTGAGCTTAGAGATTCAGTCTATGAAGGTTAATTTGTATTGAATTTATAAGTAGATAATTATTTTACCCATGAATTGAAATATTATACACATATATAATGCCATTTAAATTGTTAATTTGGCAAAATTTGCAGCCAACAAGAGTATTCCAGGGGAGATTGAAGGTTGTGATGACTCATTTCCAGTTTCTGGTATTCTAAATTGGATCTTTATCAACATCAAGGCAAAAGCCATGGAAATATTTGAGAAAATCACGGAGATGATGAACAGCTTGTTCCAGTCTCCAAGAAACGACAAGAAGAAGGCCACAGATGAAGATGCAGCCATGGAAGAATCCTTTGAGAAAAAACTAACAAGTTCTTTCTTGCTTTCAGTTATGGTACTTCTGATTGTAGTTGTAAGCAGAGCCAACAAGTGATAAGATTGCCTGATAGAGTAACGATGTTTGTATGAATAAACTGATGGTACTAAATAACAATATTACCCTTTCATTTCAACAATTTTATAACAATAACCATTAAATCAGTTTGTCCAGATTAAGTCACAAACCAACAACCATGTATAGTTGTCCCATTAAGCCCTTAATCAGTTAAGCTATATAATAACTCCTTTTCACTCTACTATAAAGGATGAGCTTCCTACGTTTCATAGACAGGTTCTAATTGTTAGAGATATACATTGGTACTCGAGTTGACAAATTTACCATAACGCCCTTCTGTAGCATTTACTGCTTGGCAATGTTGTCCAAGATGGAATCCAAATCAGGAACTATAACGGCTTGTTTATCAACTTGTCCAACCACACAACAATCCTTGCTTTTAACATTCATCAATGCAACATCTTGAGCACATTCATCAAGTACACCGGATGAAACCTATAGAAAACAGCAAATTATTGTTATGCTGGAATATAAGAGAGAAAGAGAATAATTAATTGTGAAACTTACATCGAAGATGATGTCACCAAGCTTGAGCTTGATTGCTCCACTTTTGTAAACCAGCAACTTTCCTATGTGTCCATTTGGCAACTCATTGAAACCTCCAGAAACAAATTTGTTTGAAGCATCTTCTTTCTCTTTGCCCTTTGTGGTAATTGGAACTCGTTTTGATTGCTTGTTATCTAAGGGGAGTTTTTGAGGGAACTTGAACAGGATCATCTTTTTTTCATCATCATTTTTCTCCTGCTCATAAACAAAATTTCAAATTGGTGAAAACGTAACAAGAAAATCAAAATCTTGTTAATAAACAACAAGATGGCCCAACCCACCAACAGTCCAAGTTCAGAGGCGGAGTTGATTTTGTTTTCATCATATTCCTTTTCTTCTCCAAATTCTTGTTCATTAAGAATCTCTAAAAAAAAAAAAAAGAATTAACAAAAGTTAGCTAATAATATATATTATATATGAAAAAAAAAAAGAATATATATTTTTAAAAACCGTACCTGGATCTCCAGAGCCAAGGGGTCTCCAAGGAAGAGTGATGGGATAGTATGAATGGGGATCCTGTGATTCACACCAATAATTATATAACTTATCATTTAAGACAGGGTAATAACTAATAACAGAGGTATGTCTCACTCACCCATCGTTCTCTATACTTCTTTTTGGTCTTGCTTGAGGATTTAAATTTATTATCTATCAACATGTCATCAACATCTCCATCTTGTTTACCAATTGTGATGTTTTTATGAACATTATCTCTAAAATCCGGGATGATTTTACTGCTCCCATCTATCGGTCTCAACGGGGTTGTTGATGTTGATGATGATGATGATCCAGCTCCATGTGATGTTGTAACATTGCCTGATGCTTCAACCCGAGACTCAAAAAGTCAAGACAAGAAAAAAAAAATGATGAATCAATTTATGTTAAAAAATGGTTTAATAATAATTACAATTTTTTTCGAGTTTAGGCTTTCGTGTGCCATGGCGTTCCTGTAAGATACAAAGATAACAACAAATGAGTCTTACTGAATATATATTTTGTATTGGAATTTGAACTTAATATATTTCAACTAGATGGTATTAAAAAAATTACAAATGTTCCCTAATGGATTACTCAAACTCGAAGAATTTGAAGTCTACAACATTAAAAGGAAAGTGAAAATCGAATAGTTAACCATTTAAAAAATGCGGGGTGGCTCATATAAAGATATTTGCCAATTCCATGTCTACAAAATATCAAATAGCTTGTCAAAATATTCATTTTCGTGCGTCTTAAAGAAAGAATATGATCACATGTAAAACGAAAAGAGAGAGAGAGAGAGAGGAGAGAGAGAGAGAGAGCGAGAGAGAGAGCGAGAGGGGGATTACATGGAGTTTGCGGAGTAGTTCTGGATCGGCTTCAACATCATCGTCACTACCATCGCCACATAAATGATTAAAATTACTACGACGACTTTTAAGAAGTAAAAGAGAATCCAAAATTGTAGACAGAAAACATACTTTTTAGGCAAAAGGCGACCGGTTTTCCTGCGAGACGGTGCTTTGGGGGTGAATTTCGGCTGTAATATGAAATATAAGTTAGATTCCGGTCGTCGTTTTTTAGCTTTGAAACTTTTGATTCAGATCTGCGATTAGAACTATAAGAAATGATATGAAGCTGAGACCTTCTTGGGAGCTGAAGATGGTGGTACTGGGGGGTCTATGTCCATGGGTGCTGCTTAGCAGAGATCGACACCGGAGGTGAGATATTTGCCGGAGATCTGCCTGAAAAACAACGACGACGTAGAATCTAGGGTTAGGGTTTGACAGAAAAAAATTAACCTAAAAATGATACAAAGAGTTTCGAACCTGGGTAAAACGTAGAACACAAATGAGACTCTTCCATTAGGCTAGACGGAGACTTTTGTAGAGTTTTAGAAACATAAATATTTAAAGAGATTTCTATGGCCGATAAGAAATAACCAATCGATATGTAAATTGTAAAACTAGTATCTTATTTTATTTCTCATATTATATTATATGATTTCATTTTTAATCATACTCAGACTTTAATAAGTTCATTGAAAATTTTTAACAAAGACAAACATTTTAACATTTAATCAAACTCACCCACCATTCATTTGAAATTATTCCAACCGCCAACAAACTTAAATCCCAAGGTTTGTGAGCTTCAAATCAGAACTACCCAACTTGACAAACCTATGTTCCTCGAGGAGGTGATCACAGTGACCGTGATTTATTTGTTGAGAATTTTGAGAGAAAGCAACATCGACGAAAATAGACAGAAGATGATAGTAATTTGGAGCAGATAGAAGAAAAAGAAAGAAGACTGTGGTAAAACACATGTGCAAGAGATGGATTGAAGGATAATGTCGGTGCCTTGAAGCAAGTCCGACTCAAAACCAGAAGAGCTGCAACAAAACCAAGAAGCCACAACTTCAAATTGTAATGTTAATAAGTTACATGGACAATATTATATATAATAAAACAAGAAAATAATAAAAATTGGTCAAAATTTGTGAAGGGATTTAACAATTAAGTGATTAACAAGGGACCTAATTTTCAGTTTTTACAAAAATGATTACCAATTTTATAATGGACTGCTATGAAATCCTCCACTATGTTACTAAAAGAACATTGACCTATATTTTCTATTTTGACATCAATTATGGTTCGTTTGCAACCAATTATTATTTTTGATTACAAAAGAGAATACTTTTATTAGTTTTACGAACTCAATTATTTATTTTCTTTCTTTTTCTTCAAAAAAAAAATGTTTTTTAGATCATTTACAACGGTTAATAAAGGTAAATTGGTTAAAAAGAGTTGCATGTTTGTTCAATACCAACAAAATTGGTTATCATTACGACTTTGACAATAATGAACGAAATTGATCTAACTACAACCCAATCTCTGTTATTCCGATATTGGCCCTTGCCATAAAGACTTCTATCCGGTAGATAATCACCACCAATGATGTTCCATTATACGAAGACTTATATAGATAGTTGCAAAAACATCAACAAGAGATACATCGAAAAATATAAGGATTTATTTTGGAACAATAGCAAGAAGCTAGTATAACCAAATTACTACGAGATGACAACAAAGTGTTATAAAGTCAACCAACCCAGTTCATTTTATAGTTTTACGCCTATAATAATACATTAAAAAGATTGTTGTACAATGTCATCAAAATATCTACTTTTGTAACTTTAGTTATTCAAAAAAGAAGGATTTTCGAAAATTCCATACTACCCAGACAGTAGTAATAATCACCGCATCGAAACATTTATGTTGCGCCGCATCTAGCTTCAAGCCATCCTCCCACATGATACGATGATTTAATCACTAACTGAATTGGAATTAGGGTAATTCAAATCCCACCATCGCCCGACAAGAATCCAAACCTCCACAATCAAGTGCAAGTATTAAAAGTATGGTCCACATTTTCCAAAAGCATCATCACAAAAGGGGAAACGACTTGAATCCAAGTTTATACCTTTATCAACCAAGTTTGCATTGAGTATGAATATGATTGAGTGACATGCACCAAATCAAGATATTAAACTTGATTTGAACAAATTGTTCCATTTAGTTGAAACCCCACCAAGTAAGCAAAGCACAACGTAAGAAGAAGAAACTGAATATTCAATAAATGCCTCGAAGGTCCAATCTAACGGATCGGTCTGGTCAAAAGCAATACGAAAGTATAAAAATGCTAACCATGAGTCCATATTTTGATGATCATCCACCAAAAATATTGAACGAAGATCTAAGACAAAACCTTTAGGGAATTGTCGATTAAAAGGGCATTTCCCAATCTAGGTGTGAAACCAAAACTTAGTACATAACCCATTTCACATCTTAATCTTACATAAATCATTAAGGTCAAGACCTTTACCACGGCGTTGCACATAACCATAGACAATATTGATCGAAGGACTGTTATTCGCATTACCACAACATTAGACATTGTAATATATATATATATATATATATATATATATATATATATATATATATATATATATATATATATATATATATATATATATATATTTGCTATCTTAAGCTTTTGGCACAATATATATTTAATGTTTTGAATTTTTAGTCTTATAATTAAAAGTAAATAAATTTAACATATATTTATCATGTCAATATCCCATCGGGCTAGAAATTAGGTCCCATCTACAGCTTACTGCCAAGTGGTCAAAAAAGCTTGTTGGCACAATCGATGTCTGTATGTATCCACGCAAGTGTAAGTTTTTACTTAAGAGGCCCATAAGTTTTGATGCATTCAAATCAATTCGTAAAAAATTATAATTCACACAATAAAGCAATTAACATGCATTATGTTATCCAATATGGTTGGTTACTGGTTAGTTCCATAAACACTAGGGTCTGTACTCTTTGATGGCAGATAGCACCATTTTGGGAACATACATATTGATTCCTGGGTCTTCTTTAACTGAAATGATGACTACATTAGTAACAAAAAGTAATAAAAGCAAAAGTTGTTGTTAGCATATGATAAAACAGCTGAAAAATGAGAAAACATAAATCCCACAAAACAAGTATAGTTATGTGTCTCAATGACTTCTTTTGCACCAGCTTTCTGCACATGTCACAACAGCAAACTCAGCATAGCAAGTTAAAGTTGTGAATTCTGATTGGTTCTGGTTGGTTTATAATCTCATCTCCAAAGATTTCAAACCCCTGCCAAAGCTATCATCACAAACAAAAAACCTTGTTAATATTATTTATTATAATAATAACAATTTTTTTTTTTGCTAAAAATAAAATCATCATATCACAAATGCTAATTTCCAGCTCCACAGAAACACTTGAAATCTTAAAAATAACAACACACAAAGACAAAGGTTTATAGCATGATACCTTTCCTCCAGTATCATCATCATTTCATCTCATCTCTGCCATGAATTTCTCATATGCCATGTCCCCACTAGATGTATTTGTCTCAGGTACAACACCAACACCAGGTGGAGGAACAGCTGAATTTGAAGCCCAGGGAGCATTTGCAATGTTGATAGTATTACTACTAGGAGGAGGAAAAGGTGCAGATGCAGGAGGTACACCATAATAAGGTGCATAAGCGAATGTAGTTGTTGGATATGCAGTTGTTGCAGGATATTGTACTCCTCCATATGTAGAGGGTAATGGTAATAATGGTAATGGTGGTCGCATGGTGGAACATGGAGGTGGAGGTTGGTAAGGAGAATAAGTAGGAGGTGGAGGTGGACAATACTGAACAAAATTAGGGGCTGAATTTGAATATGGAGGAGGCATTTGTGGGGTCACTCCCACACCCACTTGAGAAGGAGGCTTTCCAGCAATTCTAACAACAATTGTTCTTCCATCCAGACTATAACCCCTCATCTTAGCAATAGCAGTATTAGCTTGCTCAACATTTGAATATTTCACAAAACCATACCCTTTACTAGCCCCACTCAATCGATCCCTAATAACCTTACCCATCACAATTTCACCAAAAGGTGCAAACAGTTGGAGCAAACTTTCATCATCCATTGCAAGTGGCAAAGACCCGATATACAAGTTTGTTTCATCATACTCCTTCAAAGATGGACCAAGAGCAAGAGTCGAGCAGCTTTGACTGGTCAAAGATTCAGGGATTGTTCCTCCTAACTCTGCTAAAAAGTTTTGATATTCATCATCCATGTTCTTACCTGTTGACCCTTTGACTGGACAATCTATAGTTGGATGCCCACCATCTCCACATAATTTACAGAGAACATCACTTTTAAAAGTTGAATTGCGGGAGGGACATGCAAATTGTCTGTGTCCTGATTCACCACATAATCTGCAATACTCTTCATCTCTTATGGTTCCATTAAGAGCAGCAAGTTCCCTAAGTTGTTGTCTTTTATGCTCGTTGAGGACCTCATCAACAGGCTGTAAAAGCTTCTCTACCATCCCTGCAGCAGCATCCAGTGATTCCTGTGTCTCGGCCTCCACCAAAACATGCAGATCTTCATTTTCAGAGGGATCGGGTTTGTAGTCCTTTTTCTGCTGCATTCTGCCTTCTTTCATTGACCCTTTACCTCTGATTACAATTTTGGCACCTGTTTCCTTTTCCATTCTCTTCTGTGTATTCCCCCTGGGACCAATTATGAGCCCGATAAAGTTGTAGCCTGGATATTCTTTCATAGGTATGTAAAGCTTCTTCTGAAGTTTTGGTGGCCTATAGTCTGCTGGGGGCTTGTAAGATGGATTTTTCTTTATAATCTGTGATATGATGTCTTGTCTCTCTTTGTTTAATCTTTCCCTAGCTCGATATTCTCTTGTGTTAATTCGAATGCCCAAGTTATCATAAATTGGTTCGGGAGAAGGTGATCTAGCACCTTCAGGTCTATCATCCAAGGGAAGCCCTGACTGAAATTTTCTACTTATTTCAAGAAGCCTAATGTTAAGTGCTTGAATTTCGGGATCAAGGTCAATACCTAAAGTGAAATCTTTCATAAAATCAGGAAGCTGTATGAGTGGCTTCGGTTCATCATCTGCCCATCTCGATTTCCTCTTTCTCGTGCCCGATGTTCCGGTTCCATCGCCAACGGCACCAGTTTCTTCGCTTGGCGGAGGATCCCAACGGCTTTTCCTCCGTCTCCTGCTGGTTGTTTCCTCTTCGCCACCTGAACAATCTTTATCTGTGCCACTATTCGTGTTGTTTGTGAGACCAGTTTCAGACAACGGTTTCTGAATAATCTTAATTAATGGATTCTTCGAGGAGGTACCAACCGCCTGCCCGTAAGGCTGAATATTATTCTTCGTATCAGCATCTTGGGTCTGATTATGGTTAATTGAGTCAGAATTTTGAAAATCGCAGGACGAAACTAGGGTTTCAGATTCTAAAGGATTCACCGTTGGCAGAGATTCGACATAGTTCGCCTCTAGAGTCTCCATAAGATTCTTCAACGTCGAGGGCGGAGGCGGTGGTGTCAGGGGTTACCGGAGAGAGCCGTGAAGATAGAACAGATGTACAGATTGAGTGATGCGTGATATCTTCCGTTGGTTGTGCTGGTATCGGATGGGATTGGCCGTTCGCGGGTGCCGGTTGTGTTGAATGTTGAATGTTGATTAAAACGGGGCTCATGAATTGGGCTGCTTTTACTGAATGTCTTCTGGGTGGGCCTACAATTTCAGCCCTTTTTCTTGAGTTTTCGTTAAGATTTTGGAAAATGTTGGGTTCAGAAAATAATTCCACTAGTTCTATAAACAATTTATGTCATTTTATGAAAATACTTAATAGTTACAAAGCTCTAATTTTTTTTAAAGGAGAATGGGTAATTAGCTGCACTAATAATTGATCTAATGACAAAACTATTTAAAAAAAACTATATTCATAATTTTTAGGATCATAATATTACTATTCCACAACTAGTTGGATTTTATTTGAAGTTCCACAATATCCGACAAAAGAAAAATGTCAAAGACAATGCATAAACCAAATAAATAGCGGTTTTCAAATACTTATATCCAAACCCACTACATAAAACAAATTTGAAAAAATTGTAGAACGGCTCAAACATGGTAAAATCTACTTCAAGAAAAGCTTTATTATGCGAAATATCAATAACTTTTAATAAATAAACACATATTGATGAAATTGATGAATGTATGCAAATATTAAATAAACCGATTAACAAATAAAGATTGAATAAATTAAATAAATCAAAATTTATACATATATATAAGCAGTAAAGCAATATAAGGCTATAGGCATGTTCTTTAACGACCTTTTGAGAGTTTGTAGTGTCCAAATTTAATCAAATATCAATTTAAAGAAAAAGCTTTTGGTTGAGAAAGCTTCTATCATAAACATAAAAAACTCATAATCTAAAAACTACTCTAAATAACATTTAAGAAAAAGCTCTTACATATTATAACAAGTTAATGGATTGATTACTCATAATAATCATTATCCTACTCACTAAAATGTATTTTAATGTTAGTTTAAATATTTTAAAAGTTTCCACCTATTTTTACCGAACCCTCATATACAAACTATAACTTCCAAATTTCTATTATCATCTAATTTTGCCAAACACACTCTATGTAAATGATATATACAATTGAGAATCCATAAAACTTTATAAAATAAAACCCTAAATCCCTTGGCCAAAAATACATAAGCTCCCTCATCCTTCAAAACGCAATACAAACACATCAAGAAAAATAAAGTGGTGCGCCTTGGAGATCAAAAGTTCTTTGAATTCCTCTTTTTCTATGGCCCATGAAACTTGTATTCGTCCTTTGAATTCCTCTTCTCCATGCGAGGAGGGTGGCACCAAGGGCTGTGGGTATATGTGATTTTCATTGGTAAGGGGGGCTCTTAAGAAAAAAGAAAGAAAAGAACGAGGTACTAGCCTACTAGGTTATGAGGACGACATTGGTATTTTTCATAGAAAATAGTTATCTAGGCGTGTTTGGATTAGATTTTTAGCTTATTGTTTTTAGCTTATTTGTGGTGGGAATAAGCAATAAGTAATAAGCATGGGGAGGAATGCTTATTAAAATTAACTTATTTAGCCTAATAAGTTGGATTTTATCCAAACATTTAAATTAGCTTACTGTGGGAATAAGCAATAAGCACCTCTTTTTTTCCTGTCCAAACACCCCCCTAGAGTCGATCAAAAATTGAAGCCTCACTAATTCATTCAGAGCTCTCTGATTCGGTCCGCTATCAGCCTGAATGTTGAGTTACTTAGAGTTGACCTCTTAATTAAACCAAAAAACGATTTACCAAACAACCACTTAGATGAATCATTTCAAGTAACTAAAATATACAATTTAAAATAAGCAATAAAAAGTACGTTATTTAAAGCATCCATAATTGTGAGTTAAATGAAATGACAAGTCTATTTGTCATTCAATGGATGAAAATTCACCATTGTGAGATATCACCTTGGCATTCAATGAATTTGGATTTGAATGACCATTGAAATTGAACTCTTCAACGGGAAAAATAAAAAATTTTAATTCTTAAATATTTACTATAGATTACATTTTATAACATTCTATTAAACTTTGTAGAGTTCAGATCATTGTAGAAAAAAATAATAAAGTTTATGGATATAAAAAGATGATGCGACAAACCATTACACTCTATGAAGTTCAATGTATCGTGGATGCCCTTTCGATACATCACACAATAGCAGATAACCTAAAAGGGCCAAACAATATATTGTGGAAAGTAAAAATTAACCTGGGTTTCATTCTTAGCATGCAAAGATGGGCGTGTCCTTTCAAGTCAAATAACAATGTAAATCCGGAATCAGGATTCCAGATGCAACAATACATGAGAATAGAAGAAGTAAAAAAGAAAATTAATTTTTACAGATTATTATTTATGTAAAAGTACAAGTATATATATATTGCACCATTACTAATGTCTAATAACTTGCATCAATTCTTTCTTTCATGCAAACCAAGCAAAAACAGGACTAAAATGTAGCAAACCTCAGTGCCCTGATCCATCAGGTATCAACACAATGGAGCCAGAAGTTTTCCGAGCTGCCATGTCAGCATGCGCTTGAGCAGCCTGTGACAATGGGTACGTATGATTTACACGGACCCTCAAGGCACCCGACCCCACCTTACTAACTACATCTCCAATGGCTTCACGCATCTCCTCCTTAGAAATGTTAGATGTCCTCAGAGAAGGTCTCGTCAAAAACAGGGATTTTGCAGCCAATGCAGATAAAGGAACAGGGTCAGGCGTCCCGGAAGATTGACCATAACTCATCATATATCCACGAGCTTTCAAACATGCCAATGATCCCTAAAACACACACCAACTTAATCTGGTAAGCCAACTTATATATGAATGTTTCATTTTGAACTTAATACAGAAAGACATACCTGAAAAGTGTCTTTCCCTACGGAATCGAAGACAACTTCAACTCCTTGTCCGGATGTTATCTCATTAACACGGGTAACAAAATCCTCTTCTTTGTAGAGAATAACATGATGACATCCGTCTTCTTTTGCTTGCAAAGCCTTCTCCTTGGTTGACACAGTTCCGATAACAATGGCACCCAACATATTTGCCCACTGGCATAACAAAGATCCGACCCCACCTGCTGCTGCATGGACAAGCACCGTGTGTCCTTGTTCTACCTATTTTTACGATTTTCTTTTATTATTATAATGTGAATTGTGTGAAACCTAGGAGCAGTCATCATAATACCTTGAACCATGTTCGGACTAGGAACCGAGCAGTTAGACCTTTGACCATGGCAGAGGCGGCGACTAAAGGATCGATGAGAGGTAAGAGAAACGCTTTTTCAGCCAAAACAATCTGCTCCTCGGTGTAGGTTCCCATTGAATTATGATAAACAACATCTCCGATTTTCAAATTGTTTACTCCAGAACCCACCCCTGTCACCAAACCTGCTGCCTCCACTCCTAAAATCGGAACTTTATTCGTATCAACTTCAACTTATATATATAGTTTTTATGGATGGGTTATCTTTAAAGGGGTCGGAATCGGAAGAGAAACCTGGTGTATAAGGAATTTCAGGCACCTTATAAACTCCGGTCCGGTAATATATATCAATGAAGTTCACACCGATGGCCATGTTCTTCACTCTGATCTCTCCTTCTTTAGGATCCCCAATTTCGATATCTTCCCATTTTAGTACCTGTAAAACAGTTTCTTCAGCAACAACTACAAAATCTAGGATAACTGAAATTAACATGAAACACAACAAAACTTCTCTTCAACTAACGATAACTGAAATTAAACATAATTTAACACAAAACACATATAGGGTGCAGACATTAGATGAGAGGGTCGAACCTCAGGGCCACCAAGCTCGTAGACCCTAATGGCTTTTACCATTCTTTTTAGTCCCGTTGATGAAATTTTCTGAGACTTTATCGGGTGGAATTGAACCTCCACACCCTTTTCAGATCAATAAAAGAAAATTTTGTTTACAAAGGAAGCTGCAAGACGGAAAATTCGATGGTCTCTCTTCGACTTCCACGTCTTCCAAAGCAGATATGTTGCTTGTCTTAAAAAAACGAAAGCTAGTAGTCCTCGCATTTGTAATTTTTACTATATTGGTCCTATATTTTTTATCATCAATTTTTACCAAAAATCCATGATTTATTTCCGGCTAAGTTGGCACAAGGTCGAAAGACGGAACTACCCTTGCTATGAATTCTTAATTTTGTATCCAAAAAGTCTGGGTTTCTTGTCCCCAAAAATCGATTTAGTTCGTTTTTTTTTGGTTTCAAACTTTTGGTCTAAACTCTAAATGGATGGATTTTTGTTATTTTTATTTTTCAGCTTTGCACTTGCATAAAGCAATAAAAATATCAATAAAGTACATATAGTTGAATGCTTGAACAAGTCAAAACCTATAAAACATGAAGAAAATAACAATATTTGTTGAATTTTGCGATGTAAGATAACAACATAGATGATCACAGCCGAATAAGAAAGACCACACAATTTATCTTTCCCACACAGTTCCATCTTTTGGGCGAGCTAAAATATTATAAATTTTTTTTGTTTGTTTTTTATCATCACATTCGGCTACCAATAATCAAATGCAGTAGAACCTATTTTGGCTACCAATAATCATTGCAGGAGCATGCTCCATCTTTAAAATGATGAAACCGAGTTGCATCTCTAACTATAATTTCCCTACCAACAAGTTTGGAAATAAACTTAATAGCCGAATGACAATCTTTACACACCCTCAAATTCTTCATAATCGTCAAACTACTATTCTTAGGAGTCTTCATTAACGCAAAAGCAATAGCAAGCTTTTCACTATGATGCATAAGAATCTCCTCTTTCACCTCTTCATCAAGATCATGCAAAACCACTTCAGTTTTGGGTACAAACCCTAATTTCTTGATCCCCTTCCAAATCTCCCCCATCATCTCATAAATCCCATCCCTTTCAGGATGAACACCATCTTCAGCTCCAAAAACATGAACCTGATCCCTTATTGAAACCCAACTCAACCCTTGATCTTTCTTAACTTTCTTAAACTTCATCCACCTTCGTATCTTAGCAGATTCCTCCCATTCCCCATGAACCGAGTACACATTGGCTAACGCCGAGTAGGCCCCACTGTTATCCGGATCCATCAGTAGGACCCGCTCCGCTGCAATTTTAGCAACATCCATATTTTTATGAACAAAACTTGAAGACAAAAGCGAACCCCACGCGATAACATCCGCTTCAATCGGCATGTTCTTGATGACATCATAAGCTTCTAGAAGCTTCCCCGCACGTCCCAACAAGTCAACCATACACGCGTAATGACTATGAGTCGGTTCAATCCCATGTCTTTCTTGCATCATTTTAAAATACCCGCGTCCTCTTTCCACTAAACCCATATGGGTACAAGCCGAAATCACTCCAACATAAGTTATATGATCCGGTTTTATATCAAAATCCAACATTTTCTCAAATAGTTTCAAAGATTCTTCTCCATAGCCATGTTGAGCTAAAGAAATAACCATGGAAGTCCATGAGATATTATCTTTTAAACCACTTATCATTTCAAACACACGTTTCGCGTTCCCAATACTTCCCGATTTCGCATACATGTTGATCAAAGCATTACTTACAGAAACCGATAATGCAACTTCTGTTTTTATAGCTTTTGCGTGAATTTGTTTCCCATGGTTTAAAGAAGCAAGACTCGAACTTACACTCAAGATAGCTGCTAGAGTGTAGCTATTAGGTTGTGGGCCTAATTTGATCATTGATCTAAAAAGATCGATTGCTTCATTGTTGAACCCGTTTTGCATGTAACCTACAATCATGGCTGTCCATGCTACCACATCAGGATCGGTTAATGAATCGAATATTTTTCTTGCGGGCCCCATTTCGCCTTTTTTGATGTATCCATCTAACAGAGATGTGAATGCGATTATGTTGTTTTCGTTTGATGTTTTATATTTTTCTACAATCTTTTGAGCTGTTTTGATGTCACCAAGTTTAGAGTACATTGAAATCAAAGCGTTTCCAACAGCTCCAGATAGATCGAATTCGGTTCTGATAATGTGGCCATGGATTTGTTTCCCTAACTTTAAGTTGTTAATATTTGTAGATGCGGAAAGAACGCTTGCTAACGTGTATTTATCTGGCTTGAGTGTTGGATTCTTGATCTTTAACATATTTGAGAACATTTGAAGAGATTCGGTGTCAAAACCGTGTTGATTGTATCCTGAAATCATTGAATTCCATGTAACTATATCTCGATCGGACATTTGGTCAAACTGAGCAAGTGCAAGGTCAAACCGTCTACATTGCATATGCATTGATATCATAGTATTCCAACTTGATGTGCTTTTTGATTTCATTTTACCAAACAAAGATTCTGCTGTCAACAGATCGCCTGATTTTGCATACATGTTTAGCAGAGAATTAGCAACGCTGGTGTAGTTACTGAGCCCGACTTTAACAATAAATGAATGAACTTTCTTCCCGATATCTAACCTGTTCATGGCAGCACAGGAGGCAAGAACGATAGTGAATGTGTACTGGGTTGGCATTACTTTGGAAGATATCATGTCGACGAGCATTCTGACAGCAGTTTCAAAGCGACCCATTTGATTATAACCTACCATCATCGCAGTCCATGTAACAGAATCAGGTTCGGGCATTTCGTCAAACAGATGGCGTGCGTACTCAATCCTTCCCTGTTTCGCATAAGCAGAGATAATCGTGTTCCATGAAGATGCGTTCCTAACAGGCATTTCATCGAACAACCGACGAGCATCTACAAGAAACCCTGTTTTCGCATACAAATTCATCAGATTGTTCGTGAGGAACACACCAACATGGACACCCGACTTGATTATACGAGCATGAATCGCTTTCCCCGCACACGGGTCTTTGTTAACCAAAGTTCTTTGAATTAGAGAAGCATAGTGATCAGATAGTTGGTGTCTAAAAGTTCCCATGAAGAATTATTTTATTTACTTTGATCATGGTGGTTCTGGCCTTCTGGGCGTCTCCATCGAAGAGAATTGCAACTTTCCTTGTTGGTTTCCCTTTATTTTTCTTTACATCCTTTTACCTTTTACCTTTTACTGACCGTGTGTTTTAGATAACTTTTTTAAATACTTATTAGTTTTTTTTAACTTTTTAAAAAGTTAAAAAAATTAAAAAAAATGTTTGTGTATTTAAAAAATATTTTTTAAAACAACTTTTTAGATAGAAAATAATAAAGCTTTTAAAAATTTGAAAAATCAGAAAAATCGTGCAGTAATAAGTATTTTTCTTAAAAATCACTTTTGTGCTAAAAAAACTAACTCAAACATTCCCTAACCTAGTTATGATCATGTATTACTAAACTTTATTTTATTTATTTTAGGACATGAGTTTATTTTAAAAAAAATAAAAAATATGAAAATCTAACAATTTAAAATTGTAAATTTAGTCAAATTCATTAATTATTTTGTGGAAAAAAAACCAAAAAAAACATAAATTAAAATCGCAGATGGACTAAACTCATTTGCGATTTTAGCAAGCCATTTGCGAACGTACAACTATGTAAAGCACATATGTGCTTTACAGACTTGTACGTTCGCAGATAGTTTTTTTATTGTTGTTGTATAAATACCTCCATTGTATGCTTAAAATTGTAGAGAGACTACGCCCGTCTGCGATTTCCTCTCATTCCAACTACGATTTTGGGAATGCTATAGGCTCCTCCACATGGTCTTATATCAAATTACCATGAGCTACCCTACATGGTCTTTACCTAGGAATGTCACGGGCTCCCCCACATGGTCTTATATCCAATTGTTATGGGCTCCCCCTAGGGTCTTCCATGCAAATATCATATAATCACTAGCATACCCCTTAGCATAAAGATAACTATCATACCACATATGTCTACTACAACTAGTGTATCACATAACATAAATTGGGTCGCCCTTGGTGCCTTAGACCTATTGGTATAGTGAGAAGACTCATCTCGCACTACTGAAGTCCCACCGATAAATTCTAGTTGTTGGTCGATAGGTTCCAGAACTGTCAATCATCAAAAGGACACCCAATTAATAATTGGGTTCCCATATACAACCATAATCTACACTTTGTGTAAATTGACCATTTTACCCCTAACCTAGCTTGGTTCAAAACCAAGGCCCAAACTCACACCCTGAAGGCCCAAAAAGCCCAATAGTCAACCAAGGCCCAACATATGGCCCAGTTTTCTAAATTGGGCCCAAACCTCTACATGGACTTATTTTAAGGCCCAACGAATTATTCTAGTCCAAACAACTGCTATTTTGATGGCCCAATAGCTAATAATCCTCAAGGCCCAAGTATGGCCCACTTATGGCCTAATTTTCCAAATTAGGCCCAAGCCTCTCTAATGGGTATTATCTTGAAGCCTAATAATTTCCCTTAGTCCATAAATATGTTCCCAATTGGCCCATAAAGGCCCACAACAGCTTAGTCCAATAAATGGCCCAACAAGCATCCAACCCAATTAGGGTTTTTTCACATAAAATGACGATTAGGGTTAAGTGTTCATACTTAACCCAGTAAGGACTTAATCTATTTAGGAATTAATCCATTAATTAGGCTTGAAGCATCAATTCACTCCAATGGTCCAAAATGCAGGTCTCAATAAGTCCAAACCAATAATCCTAAAATTAGGGTTTTCTAAACCCTAATTAGGGTTTTCAACCCAATAATAGCCCAATAGGCCCAAAACTAAGTCCTTAGATCAATTAGGGCTTCATTAGGCCTACTAGGGTCTCATAACTCCTGTTAGGGTTTCATAAGGTGAGCACCACCGACTACCCCCTCGGGTAGTAGTGGTCGACGGTGGTTCACGACAGCAGCCACCACCTCACGGTGGTGGTTACGAGTTTCTTTTATTATTATTCTGGCACGATTACACTTTACAAATTAAAACCCAAAACAATACACACACACACTAATTAAAACATACACACACAAGCACCCTAGTGGTAGCCGACGGTGGCACATGGTGGCAGCCACCACCTCACGGTAGTGGTGATTATTATCTCGGCCAATACAACACCAAAGGTACTCCATATATTGATCCAAACGCACCCGAAATCCCACAGCCACCCGAGATAGTGGCTAACAGTGGTGAAGCGGCGACAACAGGTAGTGGAATGACGACGACAGGTGGCGGTGATGAATTTCCTTCTATTTCCTGGCCAAGAAAAGATCCACACAACATTATCCCTACAGAATACGGTCATACAACCACCAAATGGAGCACACAGCCACCTCCTCACGGTGGCTGGTGGCGGTGGAAGAAGATGGCATGGCGACAACCACCATGGTTGGCAGCGATGGTGGTTTTTCTTCGGGTTTTCTAGCCAATCAAGCTCCCATCAACACTTCATGGTTCTACAGTAACCCCATCTATTCGAGATGTGATACCACAGCTCTCAACCACCGTCTAGGTGGCTGATGACACTGAAACAACCAAAACGGAGACCAAAGGGTTGCCCGTGGAAACAACGACACACATGACGTTAAACACCTTGAGGGAAACGAAAGTACAAAATGAGGTTGGCCTTACCGGGATATTCTGGTCGCTCATAGCCTATTATTCTTCGTTCACAGCTCAACTTCAGTCTCGGTGGTCCTCCTGGCCATTCACGGTGTCACCGGCAGCAGAGGCTGTGGTGGTGGTGCTCGGCGACACGGTAGAGGAGTTGTAGTGCGGCAGTCGGACTCAACCAAGCAGGTGACGGCAAGCACATCTTCATCAATGGCGGAGGCTAAAAGGAATGGTCTCTTAGGGTTTGGAGATGCGATGTAAACTTTAATATATCAAATAAGTTTAAAAATTTAGTGTAAACTTTAAAAGCTAAAGTAAAATATCAAATAATGTTTTAAAATTTTCAATATATATATTTTTAACATAATTAAAAGGAAAACATTAAATATAATAAATATAAAATAATCTAAATAGATTAAATGAATTAACTAAAAGATATCTAAAAACTATATTTTATAATAACTAAAATTCAGTTTTGATGTTTTTAAATTAATTTAAAATATAAATAGTTAAAAATAACCAAAACTTAGAAATTTAATTATGTTAGATTAGAAACGGTTATTGATAATTTAAATAATTATCATAATAAAATTAAAATATCATCATTTTTTTTAAATAAATAAATCATAATAATAATAAATTAAAATAATTAACAAATATAACTAATGTTATACAGAAATAAAATATAAATAGAAACCGATAAATGATTTAATTTTAATTAGCACTCTACCAATACTATAACAATAAAGGCAAAAACTATATCAAATATATGTACGGAAAGTAAAGATAATATTGAATACTAATATAATAATCGCAAATACTGTCAGACTAGCACACTGACGCACACAGCAGCAGCAAGCTTCCGGATGTTTCAACTTTCAAGCTAAAGAAAAAAAAAACTGAGGTTAGCAACATTGACTTTCACTAATTATTTTTTTTGATCATACAATGTTTATATCCAGAACCTGTCGTCCCTAACATTGACTATTTTTTTTTGGTTATGATATGGGAGTAATATATAAAAGATATACAATTGAATATTTAATCCGGTTTTTATCACTTAGGAGGGTGTTTTGGCTAATTTTATTTATGGTTTTTT